TTTTTCTGTCAACCAGAGGGTTGTTATAGTATGTGCTCTCCCTCCCTTTCCTCTGAGAATGGGTCAAGTTCATCCCAGAAGCCTCTCAAGTCTGAATTTTTCACATTCTCCTTAACTGACAAAGAAACGAATGCCACGCGTTTCGGGCTGTGCTTAAATTTTCTTCGTCCCATACCCAGAAGAAAACGTCCCTCTTTGAATAAGCGTACTTCTCGACACACTTCGACTCAAGACTCTGGGAGCAGATTACCATCTACCTCTAACGAACATTCAGTCAGTACCAAGAAACACAGTCAGTCCGACACTTCCAGCTCCTCGGACTCCGAAGACTCTGCGAGTTTGGTTGACCGACCTGATCGCCCCTACACGCACACACTTACATCTCTTTGCATCGTTTCCCACTATCCCTTCTGCAGAAAATTCGAACATTGCCTGCTTTTTATATACAATCTTATCCAGAAGCTTCATGAAAGTTGCCGTCCTCGATTCGCAGGAAGGTGCTTACTTTTTCACTTTGATTGCTAATCCTGGTTTTTGTGATTGCATGCTCTATTTTTCGTAAGCGGCGTTTTTTTTAATGTGGACTTCCCGTGTCACCCCCTTACCATTATTGACCGAGTATTTCGTTCATTCAGACTGTGTTTGCAGCTAAACATCTACGTCATTGCAAATTTTAAGGACAGTGCCAGGTAGTGACTGCGTCGATATCGCTTTGTAAAGGCGTACTAAATTTAATGATGTACAGATTCGTGACGCACCTCGTCGCATAGCTGCCTAGATAATTTTAATTAACATGGCTTGTTCTTGAACGTGTCCAGGGCAGCATCTATGTTGGCGCAGAGGGTGAGTTGTTGAATGCGCTAGCAGTTACAGATGGACAATCAGCTCGTCAGTCAAAGTGAAACGTCATAAGTAGGATTGCTTCACCATTTGGTCTCTGTTTTTTTTATCGTAAAGCATAAGTAGAAACAATTAAGTTGATATATATAAATGCCTGAATGACGTAGGGTTGCTGCTATAATAAAATATAGCTCGTTTTTATTTTCATGGACTTTGTAGACAAACCGTTTGGTCAGCAATTACAGGAGGAACCATAAATATATCTCATCCGGCTGTTCGAAAAAGCATAGACGAAATTGACACATGGATTCTGCGCTTACTGAGTACGCCATCTCCGATTGCCGGCAGAACTTGTGTCAAGGTACAATCTAAATTTTTACCTTTAGTATTTGATTTTACCTTTACTGACGTAACTGCCATATCAATTGTGTCCTGTTTTCTTATAACGGACTTACGTCCTTTCCTGATTTGTGGCTTCGTAAACTTACTCCCCTCTTTTTGGGCCTTACCTTTCGAAATTTGATAAACAGAATCGAGCAGGCAGGTCTCGAATACAAAAAAAACAAGAACATGAACTCCTTCCAAACATCACGAAAGTTAGCATTTCAATTTGCAGTCACGGTTTGTTAAACCTGTATGCCCCGAGCCGCCAGTCATAAGCGAAGGCAGGAATTGTTGACTGGTCCAGCCAGCTTTTAACTTAATCATCTTTAGGCCTTACTGTCAGTGTTATAGTGGCATATGCTGGTCTTCGCTGATAAAATCCGGCTGTTTGTCATCCTCGAATGCTTCTAACAGGGCCGAAAGACCTACTGAAAAAGTATTCTAAAAATACTCTTGCAGTTATGCCGATCGAGTCTATCCTTTTCCGTTCAACGTTTTGTGCACAAAGGCAGATTTGTGAATGAAACTGGAAGCAACAGCGCCTACGGGTCTAATCATGATCTCATCTATATGTTTCTGACGGGTAACCTTGGATTAGCATCCGTGACGCTTCATTCTATGCGGTCTGATGGTATAAATGAAAGGTAGCCTGTCAGAATCGTTGTTCTGTAAAGAAAAATACGCCAGTTTGAAACTTAAACCTGAACCTAACAGTCATTATAAAAATTCGCAATCCGAAAGACAATACAAAGAATTCTTGGATTTATCTAGTGGAGCCACAGTGGCTGAACTAGAGCGAGAACCCAACAACTCTTCCCAGACAACCTTAACTGGATTTCACAGTGAAGGCTTTTCAAATCTATCCTGGAAATTAACGATAAATTTATAAAAAGAAGACCGAAGAGTATTTGACCAAATTGGTAAGTTAACCAGAGGCAGTGGCGTCTATCAAAATTTCTCGATTATTCGCGAAGTTATATGTCGTTTCTTGCTCTGGGTTGTCTTTTGGGCATGTTCGTCATCATGGGCCCACGAGTTCAGCACTGTTGCCCACTCTGGAGCCTCCAAGTGGAGATCAACTGAAAGCTTAAGTTAGTACTGTTCAAGAAGACATACAAGTCGTTTTTATTGGCGTCCATACGTATGCTAACAACGGAGGCAGTTTGGACTGCTTTGCGTTTTGGTAGTATAATGGTTTTCCTAGTGCTTTTGGGTGCGTCTTTATGAACAAACTAGACGTGCGGAGCGCACACGGACGTTCATACTGCGGTCATTTTTTGAGGAGCCTGTCAATGTAACTTATGTTTAACTTGTTTTTTTATTGTTCCTGAGGATCTTCATTGTGTAGATTTATTTTATCTCCTTGACCTCTATTAGGCTAACTAGGAAAGTTTGCGCTCCCCGACTTTGCATATATGGAACCCATGTTCATTATCGCCGTATAACAGTAATTTCACGAAACCCTCATTCTGTCGAATCGTCATTGCTTTTTGATTACGCAGATGCTATGTTTACAAGTCAGTTCCGGGATCAGGGGTTTACGATCAGTTCTTACGGTTTTGTATGGAAAGTTTGCTCAATACACCTTAGTAAGCTGTGGTTGAGCCTCCTTGCTCATATCTGACGGCTGATCCTGCATTCTCTACTGCAAAGAACCTTGGTCGCTAGCTTTGTAGTGATAAGGATACTGATGCTGCATCGTAGGTTGTTAAAGGCGTCAGTATCTTTTAAACTTACTACTAGGATTCCGTCGTCAAGTGGGCTTGTGCATCGAACTGATCAAAAGTAGCGTGTAGACAGCCAATGCTAGTGATTGACATTTTTCTGTATTCCTTGGTTGACTCTGCTACTACTATCTGCTTATGTTTTTGATGACGAATCCGCGACGGATCTCGAAACGTCAGGTGAACAAATATATTGCCCCAGCAATCGAGTCGTCTTCTCCTCTGCTTCATGTATTATTACCATCTTGTAAGCACTGATCGTAAGTCTTAGGCTTGTGCGCGTCTGCACGCTGGGTAGCATTCAACGAGTGGTCCAATGCGGAGCATAGATAACGCCTGTCATTAAAGACGTTCCCAGACACACACTCGCCGCAGGTCAGCACTTCGTTGTTCATGTGGTATTAAATTTATATGTTGAGCATTAACGCTAAGGGAAAATAAAATAAGGGCAACTACACTGATTTGCTTCAAACACTTTTCAGGGTTAATGCGGTGGAAGTCACTACTTTGTCAATATCTTGAATGTACATATCTAGGAATTTTTCTGAACGCTAACAACTCTTTATTTTGTTCCTGTTAGTTTCTCTTCGTTGTATCAAAAACATGAACGATGTAGACGAATAGAATATAGAAGCCTATTCGCATTTATTATTGTCGCTTTTGTCAGTGCCGAATTTTGAAGTCCATGGTGACGGTTCCAATGTTTTCGAAATCTACTCGAGTTATTATATTGAATAAAGCTGAATATCGTAAGCCGCCTCTTGCATCTATGGACGCTCTCCTTTCTTCACGACTGTTGCACTCTTTTTCACTATCTTTGTAATAATAACATTTAAATGGCAGTATACTTGACACAGTTATAATGCATCCTTGTCCCTACATTCCCTAAAAATGAGAGACCAATGACAACCGTGTTCATAAGTATGAAAG